GTAGCTGGGACTATAGGCGCACGCCACCATGCCCAGCTAATTTCTGTACTTTTAGTAGAGACGGGGTTTCACCATGTTGGCCAGGATGGTCTCGATCTCTTGACCTGGTGATCCGCCCACTTCAGCTTCCCAAAGTGCTGGGATTATAGGCATGAGTCACTGCACCCTGGTCCAGATTAAGTTTTTTTTAATAAAAATTTAGCAACCTAATTTAGTCTTCAAAGAGTTAGTATGAAAAAAAGAATGTAAATGCCACAATTAATTTTTATGCTAATTACATGTAGAAATGATACCACTTTGGATATTTTGAAGATTTAGTATGAAAACAGAATATCTCATTAATAACATATATAATGATTACATGTTGAAATAATATTTTTGATATATGCGTGAAATAAAATATATTAACATGTTTCACCTGTTTCCTTTCTAGCTTTGAGACAGAGTCTCATTCTTGTTGCCCAGGCTGGAGTGCAATGGCATGATCTTGGCTCACTGCAACCTCCGCATCCCGGGTTCAAGCAGTTCTCCTGCCTCAGCCTCCTGAATAGCTGGGGTTACAGGCATGTGCCACCATGTCTGGCCAATTTTTGTATTTTTAGTAGAGAAGGGGTTTCTCTGTGTTGGTCAGGTTTGGTCTCAAACTCTTGACCTCAGGTGATCCACCCCCCTTGGCCTGCCTGTGAGCCACAGCACTGGCCTCCTTTTTAGTTTTATTTTTTAAGTGACTACCAGAAAAGTTAAGATTATGTATGTGACCTGCATTAGATTTCTAATGAATAATGCCACTTTAGAGTATTCCATTGAATGATTCATCTACTGTGGATGGATACTGAGATGTTTCTAGTTTTTACTTACTACAAACAATGCTGCTTTGAACATTCTTATATTTGTATCTTGATAACACTTTTGCCTGAGTTTCTCTAAGATGTAATAAGGGTACAAAATTGTTTTCCTAAGAAGTTGTGCTATTTCAAGTGGCAGACTGAGAACATGCCAAGTCTCTACCTGTTCAACCTCCACCAAATCCCTGAAAGTTATACAACAGAAATAATTTAAAAATCCACAACCTTAGCTCAAAATGTGGAAGCAGTTCTACAAATGCTCCCCTACCAGAAATGCCTGGGAACTACCTACAAGTTATTGGTTGGGACAAGGCAGTAGGAGAAGCCAGAGGCACATCAACCCCATACCCTTCTTCCTTGGGCCAGGCAGCAGTATCTTCCTCCAGGCAGGAACAATTGTCAGAAAGTGGGCAGCGTCCTGGAACCCTGGAAGAAGGGTGTACACTCCCTTACTAGCCATCTCCGACACCTTCCTTATTCTCAGCAGAGTCCATCTGGAACACTACCCCTGGAATCTCACCTCTCCTCTAGAGCTAGAAAACAGAATTGTCTGGTTCCAGCATTTTTTTCTTATTAATAAGATATCAGACAAGGGTGGGGAAAAGCTATTTTAAAGTAGTCATAATTCCTCTTCTTAGATTACTATGTTAGTCTTTTTTTTTTTTTTTGAGACAGAGTCTCACTCTGTTGGCCGGGTTGGAGTGCAGTGGCGTGATCTCGGCTGACTGCAACCTCCGTCTCCTGGGTTTAAGCAATTCTCTTGCCTCAGCTTCCCAAGTAGCTGGGATCACAGGCACCCACCACCATGCCTGGCTAATTCTTGTATCTTTAGCAGAGATGGGGTTTCGCCATATTGGCCAGGCTGGTCTCAAACTCCTGACCTCAAGTGATCCAATCACCTCGGCCACCCAAGGTGCTGGGATTACAGTCATGAGCCACTGCGCCCAGCATGTGTTTTATTTTAAATTTAGAATTCATGTATGACTTGTCTATATAATTACATTAGTTCAATGTGAGTTGAACTAATGATGTAACACACAAACTGTTGTGAAAAACGTCAGTTACTTCTAATGTAAGCATTTTTTCCAAAATCATTTATGTGTCTAAACTAATTCCTTTTATAAATCAGTAAGAAAATGATAAAACAATTCAACAGGAAAATGAACAAAGGACAGACAACTCAGAGAAGAAACACAAATGTTCAATAAACATATAAAGGTATTTAATTAAATTCATGAGTAATCAGAAAAATTCAAATTTAGATGGAAGCCCCTTTATTCATCTATAACATCAACAAAAAGTTGGAGAATACCTTGAGCCCTGGAGTTTAAGACCATCAACAAAAAGTTGGTGAAAAAGTGTGGGGAAATGAATGCTGTCATATTCTGTTGACAACAGAGTAAGTTGGCACAACATTTTTGAGGGCAATTAAAATTTTATATCTACACAGTCTTCACCCCAACAATTCCATTTCTAGATATCTATTTTACAGGAATAGTTGCCCATGTTCACTAAAAAGCATATACAGGGATTTCATTGCAGCAATGCATGTAACAAGAAAACTAAATGTAATCTAAATATTCATCAATGGGGGAATCATTAAATAAACTATGATGCATCCATACTATGGATATGCAGGAGTTTAAAATGAATGCGGTAACCCTGTAAGTACTGGGAAGGAAAGAAATCTAAATCGTATCATGAAGTGAAAGAATCAAGTTGCAAGATGTTACCACTCATGTAAAGAAGAAAGATTTTAAAAACCACACAACAAATCTATTTTGCTTTATGTAAATATGTATGTACACAATGGGAAAAAGTCTGGAAGGATATATACTAAATGCAGAATAGCGTTATCTCAGGGATGAGGGAGTAGGGCACAACAAGGGATTTTGTTGTATCTCTTACATCATTTTTATACATTAAAAACAAAATCATGGGCTGGGGGTGGTGGCTCATGCCTGTAATACCAGCATTTTGGGAGGCCAAGGTGGCAGGATCACTTGAGCCCTGGAGTTCGAGACCAGCCTACGCAGCATAGGGAGACCCTGACTCTACAAAAAATACAAATTTAGGTGGGCGTGGTGGCATGCACCTGTGGTCCCAGCTACTTGGGAGGCTGAGGTGGAGGATCACTTGAGCCTGGGAGGCAGAGGCTGCAGTGAGCAGTGATTGTGCCACTGTACTCCAGTCTGGGGAACAAGGTAAGACCCTGTCTCTGAAAAAAAAAAAAAAGAGAGAGAGGAAAAAAAGGGAATATAATCATGTATTATTTGTATGATAAAAAATAAATTTAAATTGCCTCTTAAAGAGAGTTCACCAAATTTAATTCTAAAATAACCATAGGATTGCAATCAACAGAGGTTGATTTGGGGTATGGAGGGGAAATATCTTTTCTCAGAAGTACAGACCTCAAAATTCTGGACCAAGGGTGTTACAATGCAGTTAGTTTTTTTTGTCATGTTTGGAGAGAATATACTCAGAGTTTCTCAGTCCAACTGTATGCTTTCCATAAATTTCCATCAATGTAAGAAATATAGTTTCCTTGGAAATTCTGTAAAGAAACACAGTTTATATCCTTGAATAGGTAGGAAAAGAATGAACAGGATAAGAAAAAGAATCATGGCAACCTTGTCAGGGATATTCAGTTACAGAAAATAACACCTGCCTTCTAATTTCCAGAGCTATCGGCTTCCCAGTTTGCACAATTAATCAAGAAATAATGTGGGGCCCCTGGCACAAATGATGAGGTGTCTCCCGAAGCTTAACTTCCTGTCCGTCCAATCTCTTAGACAGATGATGCCAGTTAATTACTTTGAATATAAGTATTTTATCCAAAAGCACTTATTTTGTCTAAACAACTCCTTCTACAAATCAATACAAAAATCATAAATAATTCAACAGAAACTGCGCAAAAGCTTATCATTATCAGCAAATAAGAAGAAAGAAACTGTATGCTTTGGCCCAGTGCCCTCTGCTGAAACACCAAAGCTTTGGCCCAGTGCCCTCTGCTGAAACATCCTAGGATTTTTCTTTCCACTTCTATTACAACCGATCTGATTTAGCCCCTTCACACTTTACTCCTAGGTTTTGCTAGACCTTTCTATTTGTCTCCCTGAATTAAGGTTTCTCCTCTAGGGCACTCTAATTATGGATTCTAAAATAATTCTTTGCATGTCTATACTTGAACATAAAGCAAAAAAACAAATAAAATAAAATAATCTTTCTTTTTTTTTTTTTTTTTGAGACGGAGTTTCACTCATGTTACCCAGGCTGGAGTCGGCTCACCGCAACCTCCGCCTCCTGGGTTCAGGCAATTCTCCTGCCTCAACCTCCTGAGTAGCTGGGATTACAGGCACATGCCACCATGCCCAGCTAATTTTTTGTATTTTTAGTAGAGACGGGGTTTCACCATGTTGACCAGGATGATCTCGATCTCTTGACCTCGTGATCTACCCGCCTCGGCCTCCCAAAGTGCTGGGATTATAGGCTTGAGCCACCGCGCCCGGCCTAATCTTTCTATTTTAATCATTTCATCTCTCTTGCTTGGAAACTTTCAATGGCTTTCCATATCTCACTGTGTAACTTTCAAACTCCTATAGCTGATAATCGAGGTTTTACACAATCATATCTTCATTGTTCCCTCATGTGATTCTGTGCAGCGAGATGGGTCTAAATTCCAATCATACCTGTAGCCATGCCTTTGCCTAGACTATACTCCCATTTTTTTTTCTATTTAACAAATTATAGCTACTCTTTAAGACCCAAGTAAAGTTTTAGCTTATCCATGTAGCTTTCCCTGACCTCCACATCTCAAGGATCACAGATTCTAGTAAATTCTAGCACCGATGTTCTGCATTATCTTTTAGTACTTAAGTATATATACCTCCCTTTTCATGCCTATTCTCTCCCTTCCTTCCTATCATTTTCATGCTCTGGAGACAGTAGCATACTTGGCCCTGGGTTAGACACAAAACAAGTGCTACAGATAGAAAGCCACGGACAAAGACGAGTTCCAGACAAAACTAAAGGACTGAGTAATCATGTTAACAACCAAAACTCCTACATATGCTAGGCACCGATGCAAGTATTTCATGTATTCCTCACCTGAATTTTGCAACAATCCTGTGAAATAGTAACTAGCATAATCCCCAGTTTAAAGATAAGGAAACTGAGTCACAGAGCAGAAAAACTTGCTCTGGGTCACCAAGCTAATAAATGACAGACCTGGGCTCAAACCCAGGCAGCCTCGCTCCAGAATCAACTCTTAAGCACTCAGAGCATCATCACTGAGACGGGGAGAGGGACAGGCTGCTGTAAATAGGGTGAAGTGAAAATGGGAGGAGAGCGGTGGTTAAGCAATGATGTGATGAGGCTAAATAAAAATGGATAAGAAAACGAGTAAGGGTAAAAGACTAGAGTAAAAGTAAAAGACTGGAGAAGGGGCCTAACAGTAAAGGAGAATGAGGAGAAGGAAGAGTGGACAAGCAAAGGTGAAAGCAGAAAGTCAGCTGTCAGTATGGTTTGGGGAGATAAGGAAGGCCCAGGAAGGCCTCCAGGAAAAGCCTGCCATGTCAGGCAGGACACAGAGGACAATGGAGGAAAGGTGATGCTTACAAAATAGTGAAGGTGACATTGTAGGTGTTGGGCTCTGGCACAGGCACGTGGCGGAGCCTCTGCTTTGGTTTGAGATCAATACACGACAGCGTCTCATCTCTGCAGGTACAGAGCTCACACGTTGGTGCTTGCGGAGGCCTGTTCCTCTGGTGCAGTTAAAGCCTTATTTTGGGCGTAAGTTTCAGGCTGCACCAGTGAATCCCGAGTAGGTTCTAGATCAGTAGGTGGACCTGTGACTTCAGTCAGGTTTTGATGCTGAGTCTGAACCTCGTCTGGACGAGGAGCTGTAGTCTTCTCCAGGGCTGTAGAATGTCCAGTCTCTGTAGTGGGTTCTGGAGTGATGGTAAGCCCCTGATCCAAACGTAGAACTCTGAGTTGAGTCAGGTTTGAATGCTGAGTCTGACCCTTGTCTGAAGGTAGAAATGTCACCTCAGGGTGTTTTGGAGAAGCTGTAGCCATCAGGGCTGTAGGAGGTTCAATCTCTATGGTGGATTCAGGAGTGATGGTAAGCCCCAGATCCAAAGGTTGATCTGTCACTCTTGGTGGCATTGGATGCTGAGCTTGATTCTGACCTGGTGTTTGAACTGTTACCTCTTGATGTGCTAGAAGTTGGGGCACAATTTTTTAAGAGGCTGAGTTGGGGTCTCCTGCATGGTTGGAGAAAGTTCGACCTCTGTCATGGATTCTGGGGTGATGGTAACCTCTAGGTCCAGAGGCTGAACCGTGACTTGAGTCATGTTTGAATGCTGAGTCTGACCCTTGTCTGAAGGTAGAAGTGTCACCTCAGGCTGTTTTGGAGGAGGAGCTGTAGCCATCAGGGCTGTGGAATGTTCAACTTCTGTAGTGGATTCAGGAGTGATGGTAAGCCCCAGATCCAAAGGATGAACTGTGGCTTGAGTCAGGTTTGAATGCTGAATCTGAACATGGTCTGGATGTGGAAGTGTCACCTTAGGGTGCTTTGAAGGAACTATAGTCTTCTTCAGGGGTGTAGAATGTTCAACCTCCGTAGTGGGTTCTGGGGGTATGGTAAGTCTCAGGTCCAAAGACAGAACTGCAACGCTGGGTGACATTGGGTGCTGAGCTTGATCCTGACCTGGTGTTGGAACTATTACCTCTTGATACACTGGAAATTGGGGTACAACTTTCTTAGGAGGCTGAGTTGGGGTCTCCTGTGAGGTTGGAGAAAGTTCAACTTCTGTTGTGGATTCTGGGGTGATGGTAAGCCCCAGGTCTAAAGGTTGAACTGGACACTAAGCGACATTGAGTGGTGAGCTTGATCTTGACCTGGTGTTGGAACTGTCACCTCATAATGAGCTGGAGGTTGAGCTGCAACCTCCTTAGATGGCTCTGGAACCTGAGCTGGGACCATCTGCTGGCTTGAAGGTTCTAGAACCTTAGGGGGCTCTGGGGCCTGAACTATGGCTTCCTGCTGGGGTCGAGAGGGTTCTGCCTCCATAGAGGGTGCTGGAACCTCCTGCTGAGTTAGAGATGGTTCCACCTCTTCAGGGAACTCTGGAGGCAAAGATGGGGCCATCTGCTGGGTCAGAGAAGGTTCTATCACCATAGGGGGCTCTGAAGACTGAGCAGGGACTGCTTGCTGGACTGAAGAGGATCCTACCTCTTTAGGTGGCTCTAAAAGCTCAGTTGGGGCCTGCTGTAGGACAGGAGATGGTTCGACCTTCCCAGGTGGCTCTGATGGCTGAGCTGGTATCTCCTGCTGCAGTGGAAGGCTGATGATCTCTTCTGTGGACTTCAGAGGATGACCTGAGGCTTCCTACTGGGTTACAGATGGTTCAACCTCCTTAAGGGGCAATGGTGGTTCAGCTGGTAACTCTTGCCAGACTGGAGAAGGTTCTACCTCCTTAGGGGAATCTGGAGTCTGAATTGTGGCCTCTTGCTGGACTGGAGGTTCAATCTTTTCAGGAGAATACAGAGGTGGGGAAGGGAGATCAGGCTGGACTAGAGAAAAGTCTGCCTGCTCAGTGGGAATAGGAGGGTTGTCCTGCTGGACTGGAGAAGGTTCAACCCCCATAGTGACTGCTGTAGGTATGGTAAGCTCCAGATCCACATTTTTAACTGTGGTATTAGGCAAAGGTGAATTACTTCTGAATACTGGAGACAGATCTAGAGGTGAAAATACCATCTCATTACTCAATGGACTGAGCTGAGTTGGAGGCTGAGTTGTGGGCACTTGATGGACTGGAGGAAGTTCATCATTTTCAGGGGTATTTAGCTGCTGAATTATAATCTCTTGCTGGTGTTTCAAATGTTGAAACTGCTCAGGGGATATTAAAGGCTGAGCTGGGGCCCCCTGTTGGGTTAAAATTTCAACCTGATTAGTGAGATTTGGAGTCACTGTAACCATGTGATCCACAGGTTTAACAGTGACATTGTGCAATGCTGGAGGTTGAACATGTTGATCATAACTTAGAGAAGAAACTGGTACCTCATGATGCTCCGGAGGTTGTGCTACAACTTCATTAGGGAGCTGTGGAATTTGAGCTGGGGCCTCTTGCTGGATTAGAGGAGACTCAACCTCCTCAGGGGTCTGTGGATGCTCAGCTGCAGCCTCCTTCTGGGTTGCAGAGGGGTTCTCATCCTTAATAGGTTCTGGAGACTGAACTGAAGTCTCCTGTTGAATTGGTAAAGGTCCGTCTTCCAATGACTCTGGAAGCAGGGGTGGGCCCCCGTGCTGGGTGGTGAAAGGTTCTACATCCCTAACTGGTCCTTAGAGCTGAGCTGTAGCCTCCTGGTGGATTGGAGAAGTTCCCATCTCTGCAGTAGTCTCTGTTGTTATGGTGAGCTGCACGTCTGGAGGCTTAACAGTGATACTGGGCAAATCTGAATGCTGAGCTTGATGGTGACCTGCAGGTAAAACTGTTACTTCGTGATGTTCTGGAGGCTGAGCTGGGGTCTCCTGCTGGGCTGGAGAAGATTCAAGCTCCCTAGAAGACTCAGAAGGCTGAGCTGGCTGCTCCTGCTCACTGGGGGAAAAGTTCAGGCTCCATAGGAGGACCTGGAGGCTCCTTTGTGGCCTCCTATTGGGTTGCAGAAGGTTCTACCTCCTCTGGAGGCTGAGCTGGATCCTCCTGCTGGGCTTGGGAAGATTCTGTCTCCTTGGTAGGCTCTGAAGTTACGGCA